TACTCCAGGCGCCATTTCGCAAGCCTTCAGTAGCACGTATCAAGTCACCTCATTCTCAGAGCGCTTATGCTCCGATCGTAATGCTTAGGATATTTTACATTACCTGCATTCATAACGTTAAGTGCAATCTTAGAATGAGACTAAAATATAAACTCGCGTGAATTCATATCGCTTAAGTAATTTTTCTTGTTTCATAATTGGTCATTATTTAGGAAGCTCTCAAATGCTATTGGCTGGAAGGACGGCCAGATGAGGAGCATTATACACACGCAGCCAGGCTTTCGAAGCGACTTGTGGAGGAGCGCGACCGCTTGAACATATCAAATTTGGGTCCATCCAGCGGTCAGCAAGCCTCCAGCGAAACAAGCTGGGACTGCCTGCTGCAGCAGGGTATGAGCAGCAGAGATGGGTCAAGTCGCGGGAGTCGGTCGTCAGCTGATAAAGCTGCCGCACGAAAATCTCGACAAATTTCGACTGGACAGACTGAGCGATCTACTCGAAATAGCTGATTGATCTCAATTCACAGCAGAATAATATTTGGTCAAAAAGCTTATCAATGGACCCAAACATATACATGCATCTCATGAAACATTATATTTCTACCCTACGAGATCTTTTATTTATAAATGAGTCTATCACATCCATTATTTAGTTCCTTTATGGCACCAACAATTATTGGGTCTATTTAGATCGGCCCCGCATTTTAAAAATTCTAATTCTTTATAAAAACTCTTTTCCAAAGTAGTTGTAGTGTCTTAAATTTTAAGTGCATTTGCAAGCTTTGTTCAAAATAATACATTCGCACATTAAATCTTCTTCTTTTGAGGAATTAAAATGCTGTCCTTGCCGTCTTCCACAAAGGGCTGTCCAAGACTTGACTAATCCTAAGGGTTAAGTTATTCCTCCTTGAATGAGGTATAATGAATCATAAGATTAGACGCCCTTAAATGCAAGAATGAAACTAATACTTCCAAAAGGTAGGCCTCGTCTTAAGCAGAATTTCACGATGTTCGGGTAAACGATTTCTGTAATAAATACAACTTAGCCTCATCTAAAACCCTACCACAGAATGTGCCAGGAAAATGTCTCGCCTTACTTGAAATTAATATCTGCTCTTTGACTCAAGTGCACTCGTGGGAGTTTGGCGTAGTAGCTAGTGTCGAGATTATACTCTGTTGGCAGTGTTGATGATACCTAGGCGAGGTCAAAACCTCGGACAACCCTGGAAGAGAATACTTTTTTGGAGGCAAGGCTATGCGAAATGCATTGGAAACGCAGTCTATTTATAGCATTGCGGGAAAATTGAATTACTAGTCCTTGTTCAAATTAATGAAATAGAATGAATACATCCCAGATAAACAAAGGAAAGACTAAGAACTTCATGTAAACAAAAATAGTATATTATGTTTGAA